TCTGGGAAATGGGGATAAAATAAAAGGCCCTCTCCTCTGAGACCCCTGGTGGGTGAAACCCGCTGTCTAAGCCCCCCCCGCCCCCCCCCTTCCAAGGTCCGGGAGCTGGGCGGGGAAGTCACGTCGTGTTGTCCCATGTTCAACTCCTCCCGGCCTCCCTAACCCCCCGCCAACAGGGTCGGCGACACCTGGGGATTGACACGATCCCGGTAACCCTCCCAGCACGGACGGGAACCTGCAGAGAAAGGAGAGAGAGAGAAAAAGAGGAGAGACTCCCATTAGCCAGAGTCACCTGGCCCAGCCCTGAGCTGCTGGACCTGCTACCAGGCCCCAGGGTTGGTTCTGCATTGGAAGGAGGTCGATGTGTATCCAGGCTCAGGTCTCCAAACTGAGGGAGGGATTCAAGCATCTCCTCTGAGCCCCTGACCATGCTCCCATGAGACACAGACTGATGGGAGCCACAGCTGTATAGCCATGGGACATGACCCAAGGTAAGGGCAGGGGAGGGAGACTCCTCTTTACTCACTTCTGTGTGGCCTGGCCAGAGAAGGTAGACTGAGGGCTGGGGAAGGAGACTCCTGGTTTTCAGATCTGTGACAACACCTCCTCTTCCACGCCCCCCTCCACGCCCTTGATGGCTGCCTCTGACTCACCTAGCTGGCATCACTGCTCTGCCTAGACCCCGTAAAATGCCGCCAGCCGCTCCTTGAGCAGGGGCGGGAACTGCTCTGAGAACTGCTGCCAGCTCTCCTCACCCGCCTGCTCCTTGAAGCCATGGAGGATCTGGGGGAGGTGGGGGGGATGCAGAAAAGAATGCATGAGCCCATGCCCACAACCCCGAGTACCTCTAACTCCCCCCACACCAAGCACCTTGGTGACCTCCCTCCCCCAAAACCAAACATTCCAGTACCCCCAGCACCCCTTTCACCTTATAAAACATGTCCCGCAGGTCATCCTTGGGGCTCACCCAGGAGGCGACGGCATCACAAAAGAAGATGAAATCCTAGGAGGGGAGAAGAGCAGGCATTGTGGGGAGTCACAGCAAGATGCAGCCCCTGGATCTACAAAAGCCTCTGTGGAGCCAGCCAGCACCCGCATCCCACCCCCTTCATGCCAGGTCTCTCAGGAAAGGGATCAGCTTGGGAGAGGGGTAGTACCTGCATGACGCCTGCAGGGTTGGCACGGATCATGACACAGATGCCACGGAAAGCAGAGTCCTTCTCCTCGTTGTCCCGGATGTTCCTCAGTGATGTGCACCTGGAGCCGGAGATGCTGTTAGCCTTAGCCAGGCAGCTCCCCGAGGTGGAGGTGGATTGAGGAATGTAAAGGGCAGCAGGGGCACTCACCAGGGCCGGATAAATTGCTGCAGCATGGGTGCAACCTCCTGTGGGCACACATAGCCGAGGCGCCCAATGGTGATGGCTGGGGGGGAAAACAAGCCTCGTCAGCACTACATTTGACTCTTTGGGGCTTCCTTAGGGTTGGGGGTGCAGCACAGAAGCCCCCTCCCATGTGCAGACACCCTCTCCTCAGTTTGAATGCCCCACTCCAGTGCCAGGTGAGGCCCAGCCCAGCAGGCCATGAGATGGGCTCAGGCTGTAGCAAGGAGCAGCACCACGGCCTGGGGAAGGGGTCAGGAGCTCCCCAATTCTCACCTGTGTTTTCCAGCAGTGTCTTGGGAGTGTTGGGCCGGTTGATGATCTCCACCAGGTTGTTCAGCACCATCTGCACATATGGCTGCATCTCCTCCCCTGCCAACAAGAGTCCAAGCCCCTCAGCTCTAGCTCCAGCCTGCTTGGTTATGGCCCCATGCAGCTGGCCCAACAGCCCACCCCAGTGCTCTCCCCCACCCCCCAACACCCAGTCCTCTAGCCCACCCCTGTAGTGACCATTCCCCACCCAGCCTACTTCCATAGCTCCCAGTCTGTCCCAAGGAAACTGAGGCGCAGAGTTTATGCCTCCAAGCCCAAGGACGGAACCCAGGGATCTCAACACACAGCCCCACTCCAGCCATGTCATGGGGATCACCGCTTCCCTGCAGCACAGAGGGACCCAGAGCCCTCATGGAACAGGGGGAGACTGCAAGGGTGGGGGGGGAGCAGGCACAGCCCACAGCACTTACCCATCTGCATGCAGATCTCACCAATGGCCCACGTTGCATTGTTGCAGACTGAGATGAACTCAGGGTTCAGGTTTGTGCCCAGGATGGGCATGAATTCGGCTGGGAGGGGGGCAGAGAATTAGTGCAAGGGGCATAGGCTAGATCCCTCCGTATCCATCGCACTGCATCCTGCTGGCCCTTGGGGAATCCAAATGGCGCTGTGCCGGGGGAATCCAAATGGGAGTTTTGGGGCTGCCAGCCAGGAGAGAATCCCTGTGGGCATGAATCTCTACCCCCACAGCAACTCCTAGCCAAGGTACACTGAGGCAGAGATGGCATTTGATGACCAGGAACTTGGGATGGGGTGTCCCTGCTGCATCAACCCCTATGAATCCTGTGACGATCCCAACAAAGATTCCTGGCTCCAGCACCCTCCAGAGGCAGGGAGGAGGCACAAGAATTACTCACCAATACAGGGTTTGACATGCACAAAGCAAGCCTTGGTGAGGTCGCCCAGGAGTGCGAAGGAACTCTGCCGAACCTCAGGCATCGTGTCCTGCAAAGGTGGGTGGAGAGGGGGAGGCGCAGCAGAAGAGAATTGAAAGAGAGTATGGCTCAGTGAGTGGAGACACAGGAGGGGGAGGGGTGCAGGGCCAGAGGTGGTGCATGACCTCACCTGCATGCACTGGAAGAGTAGCGTCATGATGTTGCTGCGTGCAACCAGCTGCTCCACGTGGCAGCCCAGCCCCTCGGCCAGGCCACTCAGTAGGTCCAGCGCCACGATCATGAAGTCCTTGTCAGGTGCTTCGTACTGCTCAGGATGCTGGCTGTACATCTGGGACAGGGGGAAAGTGGGGAAGTCACAGACAGATGCAGCCCCCTCAACCTCCCACACCCCTGGGCTGGGATACTGGAGACATGGTGCCACTTCCCAGTCCTGTCCCCCTAGGG